CACAAATTAAGTCATTTCACATGCCATTCTGACTGTGTTTTCAGTAACTTCACTTCCAGCTTTTTGGTAACCAGTTGGAGAGAACAGTTATGGAACTTTATTGCCTAGAGCTGGTTTTGAACCTCAGATCTCAGCCTTCTAAGTAGCTAGGATTACAGGTGAGGTACCAGCTCCCCTCCCCCCCTTTGAATGTTTTTTACTATTCTTTTCTTCTCTGACTTTGGGGTGGGAGTTTTGTGTTTCTAAGCACCAAAGTGCTGGGTTTATAAATTAGTCATTTCAATATGTTGTGTGTATTTAGTTTATTTAGTTTGTGATTGTCATTTGTTTTTGTTTTTCATACTTATCTATTAGCAGCATCTCTAAGTGAATCTGGCCTGTTAACCACTTTGTTCTCTTTCTAGCCCAAAGCCTTCTCTAGCCTGGTTTGGAATTCTGTAGCTCCTAGTGGATGCAAATGTTGACAGGTATGGACCAGTTCCTCAATCCTTTGTGGGTCTTGAACTCAGGACTCTGGGTACTGTCCCTGAGCTTCTTTCACTCAAGGCTAGCGCTTGAGCTACGGTACCACTTCTGGCTTTTTTCAGGTTTGTTTTTTGTTTGTTTTTTAATGGTCAGTTGTGGGGCCTGAACTCTGGACTTGGGCGCTGACCCTCAGCTCTTCAGCTCAAGGCTAGCACTCTACCACTTGAGCCACAGCACCACTTCCGGCTTTTTCTGCTTATGCGGTACTGAGGAATCGAACCCAGGGCAAGCACTCTACCGTTGAGCCACCTTTCCAGCCCCTGGTTTTGTTTTTAATGGAGATAAGAGTCTCACGAACTTTCCTGCTCAGGCTGGCTGAATAGCTAGGATGCACCCATCCAGTCCTCTTACATAAGTTCTTCACCAAGCAAGGCCTCTGCTAGATGATAAGAATAAAATAGTGAATGTCACCATGGTGAAGCGAGCATACTGGAGCTCATTATACCATTAGCCAAATGATCATGTGAATCAATATGCAACCCCATAAAGGATGAGTGGTTGGAAGCAGTCTTCAGTGACCCAGAGGATTCTCACACAGAAAGAATCAGGACCTAGAAATTGCTTGAGCTAAAATCTAAAGGGTTAAGAGATCCAATAGAATAAATAGTGCTTTTGATGTAGATTGAAATTAACTACTAGACACTAACTTAATTTTTCTCAGGGGAAAAAGGCAATAAATTTGTTCTTGTTTTTATTACCCGTAAGCAGCCATTCATAAGTATCGGTTTTTGTTTTCAAAATGATCTTTCTTCACTAGGTGCGGTGACTCACATGTGAGGCAGAAGGTAACAAGAATTGCACATCTCATTGGTAGAGAGAGCATCTGCCTGGCAAGGGTGAGGCCCCTGGGTTCGAGCCCCTATACCTCCAAATAAAGAAATAATGAGCTTTTCATTTTTGCTTCTCACTCTCTTGTTTGTACAGAGCTGGTGAGCTCAGTGGTAGATATCCATAATTGATGATTCTTCTTAGGATATTGGCCCAAGAGTCTGGGAGCTGCGGAAGGTCTTAGCCTTTGACCTTTATCATGATTATAATAAGTTTGGGCTAGGACAAGTAGCCTTGCTCCTAGGATGGTCCCCAGAAATTGTATCATTCCATTCCAGCTTTCTTGGCCCACCCCCACAAACAAAATCCTGACTCACCAAGCCAAGCTCTTCATCTAGATGCACTCAAAAAAAAAACCAAAAAGAAAAAGATAGAGGACTTGAACTTAGGGCCTTGTATATCATAGCTGGTGCCTTCCTACTCCTAACTTATCCTGATACCCTAGTACTGACCCCAACTTGCATTCTTGGAATAAAACCTTCCATGGGAACAATATATTTGTGTGTGTGCACCAGAGCCAGTCCTGGGGCTTGAACGCAAGGCCTGGGTGCTGTCCCTGAGTTTTTCTCACTCAAGGCTAGCACTCTACCACTGCAGCCACAGCTCCACTTCTGGCTTCTTTGTAATTGGAGATAAAGAGTCTCACAGACTGTCCTGCCCAGGGTGACTATGTACCATGATCCTCAGATCTCAGTCTTCTGACTATTAGGGTTACAGTCATAAGTTACCAGCCCCTGGCTACAATACATTTTTTAAAGATTACATTGCTGAATTTCCTTGCTAAGACTTTTTTTAATTGCCTTTATTTTCATAAATGAAATTGGCCCATATTTTGGGGAAGGACTGTCATTTTCATACTTTGATACTCTACAGCTTTTCGTTATGGTCTTAAATAGTCTGGATAACATTATGATGATCTTTTTAATTTTTTTTTTTAATTAGAGAAAAATTCAGCTGTGAAACCATCTGGTCCTTGTGCATTTGCATGTAAAATTCTTAGAATTTCAGCTTTCTTGTTTATTGCATGCAACATTTACTACCATTTTGTGGTGTGGTGTGGTGTGGTGTGGTGTGGTGTGTGTGTGTGTGTGTGTGTGTGTGTGTGTGTGTGTGTGTGTACACCAGAGAGGCAGAGACTTACATATAATAATGAGTAAAATAAAGGCATAACATTAAAGTACAGGAGAAAATCAAATGCTAACTGAATTCTAATGATTCTTTCTAAGGCAATTGAAGCAAAAGCACACATTTATCATGGAGAATAAGATGAAGCGACAGGAATGCTAAGTAGGCTCTGTTCAATATTACATTTAGATATAACTCACAAATGAGGTGGGGAGGAAACTTAAATAATTCGGTCAATGGTCAAGAGAAACCAAATTGGAGAGTGGTAGTAGTTATTTCCCTCCCTAGAAATACTCTTCTTAAAAAATATATACTTAAAATCTAGGCACTAGTGTTCATGCCTGTAATCTTAGCTACTGAGGAGGCTCATATCTGATGACTGGTTCGAAGCCAGCATAGGCAGAAAAATCCATGAGACTCTCCAATTAATCAATAAAAATCCATAAGTGGAACTGTGGCTCAAGTGGAAGAGAGCTAGCCTTGAGCAAAAAAGCTAAGGGACAGCGCCCAGCCCCTGAGTTTAAGCCCCAGTGCTGGCACAGAAACACAAGAGCAAAAATTAACATGCTGCTAACAATGGGAAATATGCAGCTCTCAATAACAGTGATAACAACTCAATAATATAATAAGGTAATACAACTCAGGAGATGTTGATTAGCTTTCAAGAGATATTCTTGAGTTACAAGATTCATTTACTCAAAAGATGGAAGGTGTGGTCTCATGAGATTTTGATGGGGTTGAAATTCCTATAGCATAGAGATGTCCTAGCTATTGTAACCCCTAGCCTAGTGAAATTCTTGCATGTGTGGTGATGTTTGTACAACTAAATCTGTGCTAGTGTTCATGTAAATATAGCCCAGACAATTATGGACAGTACCAATATCTGATAATGATAGCAAATTGGCTCACATATAATGTAGTTATGGAAAAAATAGTCAATGATAAATTAGCTAATAAATCTATCTTCTATTATAGCATTTCACGAAAGGCAAATAATGAATGCTGAATGTAGTGTCTCAGATGGTACCAGACGCTCAAGAACTTTTCTATACTTGTTGGGATAGTCAGATATAATCATTTCTTATTCCAGTGTTTGAAGTTGTGTACCAGAAACATACTTACCATTTAAGAGGTGAGATTTGTGAGGCAGAGGGGTGGGGGGTTGGGGAGGGGGGACCACGGGGGGGGGGGAGGAAGGGAAGGGGGGGGTTAATATCACACCTGTAGTCCTAACTTCTCAGCAGGCTGAAATCCAGAGGATCGACATTCAAAGCCAGTCTGGGTAGAAATTCAATCTGGAGTCCATGAGACTCCTATCTCCAATTAGCCAGCAAAAGCCAAGTTGGAGGTATAGGTCAAGTGGTAGAGCTCCAGGCAGGAGCAAGCAAGTGCCTGGTCCTGAGTTCAAGTTGCAGTACCATAATGTGCATGTGTGTGTGCATGCATGTGTGTGTGCGTGCGCACACACACATACACAAAGTTGACTATAAAACAGCACATTGTGTTAGTTGACTGATTTACAAAATGGACTATGGAAAATGGTTCCATGCCAGCACCATGCTGTGAAATTGATGAGGCCAGTGTCTTTGACCCCCAATAGGGGATTAAGTGCATCATCAAGACTCTACTTTTCATGACCAGTCACTTCCCAAAAGCTCCAACTTAATAGGCACACAGGCTTCAACAAAAGAAATCTGGGGAGCACTAATATTCAATCTGTGGCAGATTCATTGAGATATTCTGAAGTTTTCATTAGCTTTGTTTCAACCATTAGCAAGAGTAGAATTGCATTTATTCAATTAATAATCAACTTTCCAGCATTTTCTGTTTTCACTGTAGTTTAGAACTCTGCTTCTGTTTGGGGCCATGAAATAATTGTGTGATTTGCATATTCATTTAAATTGAATTTTTTTCTTTTGGCAATCAGTGTCGTCTTGAAAGGTGTATGCTTTGGCACACACAATTAGTGATTCATTAGAGTTTTTCTTTATTGAAATGTGAGTTACAAAATAGAGATTTTTTTTAACATGCTTCAAAAACTTGTCAGAATGAAGGAAGTGTGGGCAAATGGACTTAATTGGAAAATGCTGTAAATTAGAATAACAGATCTAAGATGGCTCTTACATTTGTACTTATTTGCATATATTAACTTTTAATCAGAGATAAAATTGGGAAACTTCTAATTTTACTATTACTTGAATATAGCTATTTAATGCAATTTTGAAAGCTTAGTTTATGTCAATGAAAGATACCCCCTCTTTAAGTTTAAACTTCATTTAAATTTATGGAAGATTCTTCATGTAATTTTGGTTTCTAAGTAAGACAATCACTGCTGGTGAGAAATAAAATTATTTTATTTTAGTGCCAGTCCTGGCGCTGGAACTCAGAATCTTGAAACCTTGGCTTTTTTGCTCAAGGCTAACACTGTACCACTTGAGCCATAGCTCCACTTCCAGCATTTTTGGTGGTTGATTGGAGATAAGAGTCTATGGACTTTCCTGCCTGGGTTGGCTTCAAACCATGATCCTCAGATTTCAACCTCCTGAGTAGCTAGGATTACAGTGAGCCACTGAGCGCCTGGAAAGATTCATTTATTCTTTGTAGAGGGTCTCCCTAAGGTCTTCTGCTCTTTCGCTTCAATTTTTTCGATTTTACTTCACATTTCATGAAGACTTTCTCCTGGTTTGGGTGGAGCTGTAGATCACTGGTATTTTCTGAGCAAAATGTCATTCTGAATAGACAACATAAAACAAACACGGCATTAAGTTTTACAGGCAGCTTATGGAAACGATCCTTCCTTTACCAAATACTACTTACAGTATTTGATCATGTGATGTGTTTTTTGCATTAAATTCTTATGTTTGAAAATATCTTTTAGAACTTCAGAGAAAAATAAAACCTAAGTTAGTGAAAACAATTCTTCCTTTTTTTTTTTTTCCTTCCATAGGTTGTGGGACTTGAACTCAGGGCATGGGTGCTATCCTTGAGCTTTTGTGCTCAAGGCTAGCATTCTACCACTTTAAGCCACAGCTCCATTTCCAGCTTTCTGTTGGTTACTTGGAGATAAGAGTTCCATGGACTTTCCTGCCCAGGCTGGCTTTGAACTGTGATCCTCCGATCTCAGCCTCCTGATTAGTTAAGATTATAGACATAAGCCACCAGCACCCAGCTTGAAAACTATACTTGAGAATAGGACCGTGCCTGAATGATTTCAGTTCTATAATCGTTGAAAGCCCTGGAGGCCTTCATCCTTCCTTCTCCTTTACAGGGTGTAACAGAGACTCCAGCATGAGAGTGGCGTTTTCCCTACATCAGAACTCCAGGGCTCAACTCTTCCCTGCCAGGCAGGCTTACTGGCCCAGCTCTCCTTAGTTGGACATGTGCACAGCTATTGTTAAAGGGTCTAGGCAGGAGGCCACTGTCGGCTGCCTTTGCCTCGTTCAGCCCTGTGACTCTGTTTCCTTGTGTTGGTGGAGTCCTGGACATGGATTTTGAGTGTTCACTTGGTCTGAGGATGTCATTTGATATTAACTTCAATTCTATCTGCTATCTGTATTCTATCTTTGTATCTCTGGCATCTATATGATCATCTCTGTATGATAGATTGATAGGAGACAGATAATGAGTGGATGAATAAGATATATAGTGATGGTAGATAATGGATGGATAGATGAATAGATATATAGATAAATAGGTAATGGATTGATAGAAAGGTAGATGATAGACCATTGATTAATAGGTAGATAATGGATAGAGGAATGAATAGCTAGGTAGATGATAGATAGATGATTGATTAATAGGTAGATAATGAGTAGAGGAATGGATAGATAATGGATGGATAAATAGGTAGGTGACAGATAGATGATAGATACATAGATAGATGCAACCTGTAATAGCTTGAGACTACAGACATGAGCCACCATACTCAGTTACTCTGACTGTTCTGACGTTTTCCATTGTTACCAATAGTGTTTTCAAACACCTTTTCATATCAGTACATATAAATCTATTTATTTTTCATTACCTGTAGTACAATATTCCATTGTTTGGAAGTACCGCAGGGCATTTAGCATTTTCCTGTTGATAGACACTAGGTTCTCTGTACAGTTTGGGAATAATACTGCGACAAACATTTTCTATGCTCATATCCTTTGTGCATACTTTTGGAGCACATGGATAAATAACCCAGAAATAACCTATAGATGTCTAAAATAAGATTCTGGATCAAAGTATTTTATAAACTATCATAAAGTACAATTCTTTCCATAATTAAAATTTCAATAACGTAAGTTCCATGAGCTAAGGGCTTGTTCTGTTCACTTCTATATTCGTTGACATGATAGATACCTCACTAAGGTTTAGTTGAATGAGATTTCCTTGGAAGCTTCTAGGATATGCATTGTTAATAGTTCTTGAGAATGTCCATTCCTTTACACTTTCAACCAATCCTAGATCATAATCATTTTTAAAAATTCTGTTGAAACTAATGGCGACCAGTGACAGCATTATAGATTGTGTGTGTGTGTGTGTGTGTGTGTGTGTGCACACACGCATGCGCACATGTGAACACACGCTGCTATTAAGGTTCAAACTCAGGGCCAGGACACTGTTTGTTACCTTTTTTGCTCAAGGCTAGTGCTCTACTAATTGGGCCACAGTTCCACTTTTCACTAGCTAGAGATAAGAGTCTCACAGACTTTCCTGCCTGGGCTGCCTCTAAACTATGATTCTCAGATCTCAGCCTTCTGAGTAGCTAGGATTACAGGTGTAAAGCACTGATGCCTGGCTTTCCCACCCCACTTTAAGAAGCACCTCTCCCAGCCGAGGAAGGACCGGATGCATCTAGCATTTGATGCTTAGCCTGCAAGTCTGCTAGTGAGGCCAGGACTGATGGCGGAAGGAGCTGGGAGAAATGGGACATGGAAACAAATGGCCAGTGAATCAAAGGTGAGGAAGCTGTGGGCTATCAACCATTGGCAATGACCCTGAGCTGTATGACTGCCAAGGGCCACTCGCAAGGGTAACTGGGAAGGCTAGGGAAAGATGTTTGGAAACACTTTGTTTAGTCTCCTCTACAGGATACCAGTCTCTTCCCTCTCCTCTTCCTTCTTCAGGCCCTCAGCTAGTGCATAAGTCTGGCAAGCAGGGTTTTGTATCTTGTCACCTTGCTAGATCATACCCACAGAATTGTCACCCAAAACCAGATGTTGGTGGCTCATGCCTGTAATCCTAGCTACTCAGGAGGCTGAGATTTGAGGATTGCAGTTCAAAGCCAGCCTGGTCAGGAAATTCCATGAGCCTCTTATCTCCAATAAACCACTCAGAAAACCAGAAGCGGCACTGTGGCTCAAGTGGTAGAATGTTCGCCTTGAACTGAAGAGCTGAGGGACAGTGGCTAGGCCCAGAGTTCAAGCCCCATGACCACCACCAACAACAACAAAAAAGAATTGTCACCCATGCTGACAAACTGCTCTCTAGCTAAGAACTCAGAGAGAGACCTGGCTCAGAAGCAGTAGTTAGTCTTGATTGCCAGGAGGGCAGAAGTCATGGGAGAAGAAGAGAAGATGTAAGAAGAGTGAAACAGTTTTGATGTTTCTCAGCTTGATCAAGAAAAACCTGCTGGAAGACTGCACACTGGGCGCTTAGCAGTTGCCAGGATTTGGCATCCCTGGGAGATCAAAATCTCAGCCGGTGTTCGTATAAGGTCAAAGAACGTAAGTCTACCATGGGCTGGCTCTGGGCAGGAACACCCAGGGCTGAGGGAGGTGTGAGGTGCAGAGATTAGAAGCACCCCACATCCCATCCCAGCTGAGAGAAGCCAAAGGGACGAATGGATTTCCTGGTGGAGAAAGATGGGAGAGGAGAGGTGAATTTCCTGAATACAAAAGGGCCAGACAGGGAAGGCCTTGGGGGAAAGCAAAGAATGGAGAAGACAGAGCTACAGAAAAGCATGGTTGCCATGGCAAAATATTGAGCATCTCTCCACGCTGTTGGAAATGTGTAGGAGTACCTCCATCTCTCCACTCCATCCTCCAACCTGGTCATCCTCATTGCTAGCGTCTGTGGACATGAGTCTCTCCCTTCTTCCCTCCCTCCATCCCTCTTTCTCTTTCTTTCTTTCCTTTCCCTTCCTTCCTTCCTTCCTTCTTTCCTTCCTTCTTTCTTTCTCTCTCTTTCTTATCTCTTTCTCTTTCTTTCTTCCTTCCTTCCTTCCTTCCCTCTTTCTCTTTTTCTTTCTCTCTCTCTTTCTCTTCCTTCCTTCCTTCCTGTCTTTCTTTCTTTCTTTCTTTCTTTCTTTCTTTCTTTCTTTCTTTCTTTCTTTCTTTCTTTCTTTCTTTCTCTTTCTCTCTTTCCTTCCTTCCTCCCTCCTTCCCTCCCTCCCTCCTCCCTCCTTCTCTTTCCCTCCCTCCTTCCCTCCCTCATGTCTTCTTTCCTTTCTTCCTTTCCTCTCTCCCTTCCTTCCTTCCTTCCTTCCTTCCTTCCTGCCTGCCTGCCTGCTTTCCTGCCTTCCTGCCTTCCTGCCTGCCTTCCTGCCTGCCTGCCTGTCTTCCTTTCTTCTTCCTTTCCCAGTACTGACCTCAAGCAATGTCCTTTAGCTTTTTCACTCAAGGCTGGTGTTCTACCACTTGAGCCACACAACTCCACTTACAGGTTTTTTTTCCCCCTCCTTAATTGCAGATACGAGTCTCGTGGGCTTTTCTGCCTAGATGGGCTTCGGACAACAACCCTCAGGTCTCAGCCTCCTGAGTAGCTAGGATGACAGGCGTGAGCCACCGGGAGCCCAACTCTATACTGGATCTTTGAAGCACAGTGATGTTTTCTTCCTATGCTTCGTGTGAGCAGGAATCGCTGTGGCTCACCTTCGTTGGGTGTCCCCGTCCTTGGCTCGGATGGTCTTCAGAATGAGGCCCAGGTTGTGGGAGGCTGGGCCCCAGGGAATAATGGTTTGCATTGTGTTCCAGACATGGGCCCACACTGCCCTGGTTTCCCACTTGACTTTGATCACGCTCAGCTCGCCGATATCCAAGTCCACAGTGGTGAGGAAGCTATAGGTTTTGTTGCTGATGATGCGTTCGCCCCTTGAACACATGGAAGAAGCAGACAGTGAGCCCTCTTCACTGTGGCACTGGGATGGGTTTAGTTGAGGCCCGGCTGACTTGGGATGGGGTTGTTCTTTGTTTAGGGGAGGTCTCATTTCCCAAACAGGTGTTGAAAAACTAGTAATGGAGATGGTGGGAGGCAGCAGGTTAAGAAGGGTTTCCTGGCGGGGAGCTGTGGCTCAGGTCTGTCATCTGGCTCAGGTCTGTCATCTTATTTACTTAGGAGGCTGAGATCTGAGGATCGTGGTCTTAAGCCAGCCAGAGCAGGAAAGTTTGTGAGACTCCATCCATCACCAAAAAGCTAGAAGTGGAGCTGTGGTTCAAATGGTAGGGTGCCAGCCTTGAATAATAATCATTTAAAAAAATCTCAAAGACGGTGCCTAGACCCTGAGTTCAAGCCCTAGGACTAGGGCGTGCACACACACACACACACACACACACACACACACACACACACACACACACACACGTTTCCCTGGTTAATAGAATTGGGAAACCATATTATTTTCTGTGTTAGCATATATAAAAATATATACCTGAGACTTATCGCTAGCATGGATCTAGTTGACTTCATTAGCATGGCTATTTCTTCATTGCTTCTAGAAAAAAGTATCTGCCCACCCCAAACAGGAGACAGTGGAGTTTAGGCAATTCTTTTAGATAGTCTCTCTCTCTGACTAGTTCAGACACACACACACACACACACACACACACACCTCTCCCTAGTAGTACTTCTCCCCACCATATAAATAAGTAGAAACGTCTAGTAAAGCAGCAATGCACAAAGGTATTAGATAAAAAGTCACCTAGAATAAGGCTGCACCAATTTAGAATATGACATCTACAGACTTGAGGTACTGTTAAAGTTTTGCTCAGTCATCTTCAAGACCTTATAGTATCACAGCATTGAGAGAACAGCTAGATGATGCCCAGGCCCACCATCCAGTGCTACCCTCCTGGGGATGGTTATCCACCTGCTCAGCTGTGAGTACCCTACGGGGGAACTCCAGCCCTTTCTTGCTCTATTTTTCAGATAAGGTCCTGTTTTTGTCTGGGGTTAGCCTTGATCTTATTACTCACACTTCCTGTGCAGCTGAAATTATAAATATGTATCACCATGCCTAGCTTGTTGGTTGAAATGCAGGCTGGCTAACTTTTGGCCCAGGCTGGCCTTGAACCACGATCCTCCTGATCTCTGCCTCCTGAGTAGCTGGCCCAGTTCATATGCATTTTCTAGCTGGCAAAGCTGGGGAGTCTGCTGTGTTGTGGACATGTACGTACAGGGGAAGACAGATTGGAAGGCTGGCACTAGAGGCTGATAAAAAATACCAGTTGTTGTTTTTCCCCCCTGAATCATGGTTTCCAGAACTTACTAGAAAGATGCCCAGGGGCCTTGTGGGTATCTGCTCTGCCCTCACAGCATCTTCCTGCCTGATCTCCTTTCTGTATGGCCAACTCTGGTGATGCCATCTCTGACATTACTCTCTATACAACACATGCCACCAACCTGGGGGGGGGCATCTATGACCCCAGAAGCCTGAAGAGGGTCCCAAGGGGCCAGGGCTTCCATCAGCCAGGAAGAATGGTCCTGTGTGGCCTGAAGTAGAATCCACCCAGAGCCCGTAAGAGAAAGAAGCCTGCTGTCACCAACCACAGGATGACCCGGATGTACTCACAGGGTGACCCGGATGTTATGCTTCTCTCCTTTCGTTCCAAGTAGTGACATGCTCAAGCTTGGTTCTATTGGTTTCCCAATTTCATTGATGAATTGGATCTTGAATTGGTAGTGATTAACTAGAGAGAGAGAGAGAGAGAGAGAGTGCACACAGGCTTTAATTTTTTGAAAATATTCTCTCTGAATTAATTTAAAAATTAATTAATTTAAAAAAATTTTTTCTTTTTCTTTTTGCCAGTATTAGGGCTTGAACTCAGAGCCTGGGCACTGACCCTGAGCTCTTTTTGCTCAAGGCTGGCACTCTGCCACTTTTAGCTACAGCTCCAAATTCCCAATTTTCTGGTGGTTAACTGGAGATTAAGAATCTCCTGGGGCTGGGTCCCAGTGGCTCACGCCTGTAATCCTAGCTACTCAGGGGGCTGAGATCTGAGGATCACGGTTCAAAGCCAGCCGGGCAGGAAAAGTCCGTGAGACTCATCTCCTGGAGACTTTCTTGCCTGGGCTGGCTTTGAACCACGATCCCCAGATCTCAGTCTCTTGAGTTCCTAGGATACAGGCATGAGTTACCAGTGCCCAGCATTGTTGTTCATGTGGCAGTGCTAAACTGAGTTTGAATTCAGAGCCTTGCAACTTGCTAATCAAGCATTCTACCGCTTGAGCTATGCCCCCAGACCTTTTTTGCTTTAGGCTCCAGCTAACATTTTTTTTCCCGGGTTAGCCTCAAACCGCAATCCTCCTGATCTCTGCCTCTTCAAAAGCTGTGATTACAGGCATGAGCCACTGTGCCTGCCTGGTGGGAGGGGACTTTTTTGAGGACCACACAGCTGGTTGTAAATAGCATGGCCAATGCAAGGCCAGACATCCTAGCTCTGGAATTTCATCTTTATAACACTTTATACTGGGACTAAAGAAGTTAAAATGTGAAAAGAGATTTCAATTTTTTTAAAATGTCATAGCAATTAGTAAGAAAAAAACAAACTAGGAACATTATTCAGCCATAGAAAATGTTTATGGAGTAATCAAGATTAATTTAGAAGGATCTCACTAAGTTGCCTGGGTTGTTTTAGAAACCCTGAGTGCTCAAATGATTCCCATACTCCAGTCTCTTTAAGTAGCTGGGACTATAGAGGGACACTACCCTGCTCGGCTAATGATTATAATTTGGATAACTACCATTTCATGCTTGACTAAGTCATAGATTTCAAGCTTATTGCTTCACTCGGTTAGCTCATTTCTCTGTGCACACTTCATTAGATGCTCCTTGATTTTCCTTCCTCTACCACTCTGCAAAGAAGCAAGGCCCACATCAAGTCACTGGATCTATGTCCTGTGGCTTACTGGTAAAGAAAGGCAATCAGATGTTAGTCAGCTGATCCTGACTTCATACTCCCAACCACATGCTTCACTCCCAAGAAGCCATTAGACAAGGTTTTTGGAAATACTCCAATGCTTAGAAGTGAGACTTAAAAAAAAGCTTTCCCAGCCTATATGAAATTGTATATCTAACAGGAGGCACAAATGTAGGGAGGAGAATTCACAGAATTCTCAGAAATAGTAACCCTGGAGACACAGAGAGGCAATTTTGTTCTTTATGCTTTTCTACAAGATCCATGCTTTCTTTAAAAAAAAAAAAAAAACAACTATGTATTTTAATTAGGCTCTTACTGGAAAAAGCAAGGCCTTTGAAAATCATTTAAAAAGAAAGTAAGAGGATTCTGCTTAGAACTCTAGCTACTAAGGGGAGGTTGAGATCTGAGGATTGAGGTTCAAAGCCAGCCTGGGCAGGAGAGTCCATGTGACCCTTATCTCCAATTAGCCACTAAAAAGCTAGAAGTGAAACTGTGGCTCAAGTGAAGTGTAGAGCACAAGCCTTGAGCCAAAAAGCTCAGGGACAGTGCCCAGGTCCTGAGTTCAAGCCCCACAAAGAAATAAAAGCTTATCTGGAGGCATGACTTAAGTGGTAGAACACCAGCTGTGAGCAAGAAAGCTGAGTGGGAGTGGAGGCTCTGAGCAGTGTCTTGACCTGGAAGGAGCTTGCACCTGGGTGTCAACCATAGCTCAGATGACCTGCAGCCTCTGCCTTGTCTCATGTCGCTGTCCATGTGCTAGGTCCTGAAAGCAGTCTTGATGAAGGATCATGTTTGCACAAGTCCCAGTCTCCATGGTGCCATTAGGCACCCTACGGAGCACTCCATAGGACAGGACACACCACATTAGACCCTCATTATCACTAGGAAGAAGGATACAAACACCTTTCCTGCTCTGCATGACATTGTATATTAAGTGCTTTAGGCACCTCCCCATTGCTCTTCCTAATAAAATGCGGGGATGGCAACAGGTTGGCCAGTCTCCTCTTGGCTACGTCTATGGCTGCCATTCCATCCACTCTCTGCCCTGCTCTGCCCAGCTCAGTAGAGCTGCATCTCCCACAATCCCTTGGGCTGATCTTCTCACAACTTCTTGGGTTGCATCTCCCACAATCCCTGGTTTCTGGTTGGGTTTGGCCACTAGTGAGGTACAAGCAGATCAGGGCAGAGGAGAGGAGCTAGGCCCCCATGATTAACAGCAGCCTCTCCTCCTGGCTTGGCTGCTTTTCCCTGGACTGCTGTCTTTCTCTGATCCTCCCTCCTGCCCTTAGATTTGGGGTACAGACAGACAGACACACACACACAAATCAGCCCATTGGGGTTGCTTCTCCTCACCCCTGCAAAGAGTCCCACTCCCTCTCTTCCACTCAACCAGGCTCCGTGGGGCCCTGTTTTCTGCCGAGAACTAGGTTAATATGGTGCCAATGGTCTTAGTAAATTACAGACACGGAAGTTGAGATTTATAGGCCTATAGTTACCCTGATTAGTAAAAAATGGAACAGAAGTTGAACCAGGTACCCGATTGCAAAAGATCCCACCCAGGCCACTCTGATATTTGCAAGCTGGGTATACCCTTTGAAAGGAATGGCAAACATATGGTCTTAAAAAGAAACTTTTGGTCAGGAGTTGAGTAGAGTGGCTCATGGCTATAATCTCAGCTTCTTGGGAGGCAAGAGGTAAGAGAAACCTGGTCTGAGGATCAACTTGGGCAAACGTGAGAGACCTTATTTGGAAAATAAAGTAGAAAAGAGCTGGGGTGTGTGGCTCATGTGGTAGAAAAACCCATCTAGCAAGTGAGAGGCCCCAAGTTTAAGCTTCAATATTGGCAAAAGGAAAGAGTAAACAAATTGAAAAATAAAAGGTGCAATCAAACCTGCTTCCAAAGAAACCAATGACAAAGTACCTCCTGATGCTGGGACATCTATCCTTGTTTCTCCTTATGGCTGGGGCTTTCTTCCCTCCCTCCCTCCCTGCCTCCCTCCCTCCCTCTCTTCCTTCTTCCCTCTCTCTCTCCCTCCTGTGTCTCCTGAATGACTAGCATTGTTCAGGGGATGAATGTTTTCTCTATGTTAGAGATGTCCATTTGTCTTCCCTTCTTCTTCCTTTCCTTCTCTCCCCTCCTTCCTCTCCTTCCTCCTTCCTTCCTCTCCTTCCTTCCTTCCTTTCCTCCTTTCTTGCTTTCACCAGTCCTGGGGCTTGAACTCAGGGCCTGGGCAGTGTCCCTGACCTTTTGTGCTCAAGGTTAGCCTCTATCACTTGAACCATACCTCCATTTCTGGCTTTTCACTGATTCATTGGAGGTGAGAGTCTCATAGACTTTCCTGCCCGGGTTGGCTTCAAACTGCAATCCTCAGATCTTAGCTTCCTGATTAGCTAGGATTACAGGTATGAGCTACCTGTGTCTTCCCTTTTCCTAAGTGGTAGAGGACAAAGAGGAGGAGGAAGTGGATTTCCTTGTCTGACATGGCTGTGGTTCCACCATTCTAAGTCAGCTGGGATGACAGCAAGACCTTTAGTTTGCACAGTGAGAAGAGAGTATTGCCTGGCCCCTTAGGAGCCACAATGGGATGAGACTTGAATAGGCATTGCAACCTGCAAAGAAATGGTGTGGGCTCTGGAGAGGCTGAGCCATTTGCACCCTGGGTGTTCAGAGAAGCAGATGGGCAGAGTGGAGGCTATGTGGTGGCCAAAGTGCCACCTTAATTAACCAGGAGTGTTTCATTAAAACAAAACAAAACAAAAAAGCCGGGCACTGGTGGCTCACAGCTGTAATCCTAGCTACTCAGAAGGCTGAGATCTAAAGATCACAGTTCAGAGCCAGCCCAGGCAGGAAAGTCTATGAGACTCTTATCTCCAATTAACCCCAGAAAACCAGATGGGTGGTGCTGTGGCTCAAAGTGGTAGAGTACTAGCCTTGAGCGAAAGAGCTTGGGGACAGTGCCCAGGCCCTGAATTTGAGCCCCATGACTGACAAAAAACAACAACAAACCAAACCAAACCAAGAAAACCCAGGTCCACGCAGGAAGCAGACTAAGCTGCTAATGCAGTCACGTGGGGGGAATCTCAAACTAAAATTTAATTTTTCAACATGAAAAGGCCTTCGGTATTAAGAACCGATTGTCTCCTCTTATTTTGATCTGTGTGAGCATTTTTTCCCTTAAAAAAAAAAAAAACAAAACCAACCAAAACCAAAAAACCCGCGTCTCCGGCAATGATGCTATTACAAAGATTAAGGCGGAGAGCGTGTGATGTCTCTCGCTTTTACCTTATGATGTGTTTAATTAGGATATGGGGGTGGGGGGGGGAGAATTCTTTTGATCCTGTAGCTGCATGCTCGCTGGAGTTCTGGCAGGAGAAATGATTTTAGATCTTAAAAGATGAAAGGCACGAAAGAATCCATTGACCCAGAATAAGAGCAGGAGTCTCCATCCTCAGCAGAAATGGGGATGGGGTGGGGTGGGGGGAATCCTGGATTCAAATTCTGCAAGGACCTGATCGGTGCTATTTAATAAAGAAAAATATTCCATGTCTTTGTACCATTCAGCCACTGTGGGAATTTATGAAAAGAGACTGCCTTGTTCTTTTTTCTCTCTCTCTCTTTCTCTGTGACTTATAAGTTAATGGCTTTGGGAGATCTTATGACCTTCTTCTTCATTGCAAATATACATACATACATACATACATATTTTTTTCTCTCCCTCTGGGTGTGGATTTTTCTGCCATGAAGATAAAGGAAATGGTATCCCTGGAGTCTTCCTAAGTCTGGGTTTTGAGTGCAAGTGCTTCTAACTTCCGGGAAACTCAAGTTCATGACCCAGAGTACCTGCTGTGGTTTGAGTATTGCAATGGATGGATGAGAGGCAGCCAGTATTGGGGGCTGGATGTGTTAACCCAGAGCAGGTGGAGGTGAGGGAAAGAGCAGGGGGTGGTCAGCATCTTCTGTGATTATCCTAGAGATCACCCTCAGGTCTAACAGTACCGCCCATTTACGTGTGGCCTTCATAGTCTGAGATAGCCTGACTTGAACTCAGAGCCTGAGCACTCTCTCATAACTTTTTCACTGAAGGCTGGTTATTCTACCACTTGAACCACACTTCCACTTCTGGCGAATTTGAATTAGCCAGACATTAACCACTTCTGGTTAATTTGAAGAGTCTCGAGGTGTATCCTTCTGGGCTGGCTTTGAACCACAATCTACACACCGTAGCCTCTTGAGTAGCTAGGATTACACACTCATGAGCCACGTGCTCTATTTAGTTTTTGCCACCGGGGTCAAGGTTTCATAGGTAGTTGGGCAGCAAAGCCAAGGTTCTCAATACTCTTTTATTCCCATCTTAAGCTTCTCATGGGTTTTTCTGGAACTTTCCCTGGAAGCCAGTGAAAACCTTCAGAAAGCCAAAGATAGGTGAGTTTCCTAAATGACAACCAATCCAGTGGCCTCATCGTATAGAGGGGCAGTGTGCTCTGGTTAGCTGGAGGGAGCAACAGAATCGAGTTCTTGGGTGTGGCAAGCCCCAGGGCTTGGGGATCAAGTTCAGGTAAGGGGAACCCTAGAAGAAGCAGAGAGCCAGGAAGAGGAAGTGAGAATGGAAAAGAGTTCAGAAGAGGGACAGGATCACACAACAGCCGGAAGTCAACCAGAGCCAAGATCATGGGGGGGGGGGGGGGGGGACAGGATCCTGTACTTTGTAGGCCACAAATCCAAACAGCGAGGGTTTAGACACTTGGGCCATCTGCCAAGAACACCTGCACGGCCACTCCTTGGGATGGTGCTTCAGCCTCAGTGGATCTCAATACCTTTACCAGAAAATATGGGCTCCCACTTTCACCTTTCTCTTTCTGTCTCTGTCTCTCCCAGTTGCTATGACAACACATCCATCATGGAGCCTGGGAAAAGTGCCTATAAGTACCACTCAACAACACCTCCCCCCCCCCAACACACACCCAGTTACCTCATCCAGCTACCCTGATGATGACATTGATCTAGGCGTGACTTAATACTAACCAGTTTCCCTCTTTTCTTGTTTCCAAATGGCCCTCAAGTTTGGAAGGCTTCCTCTGGGGAGTAAAACAAATGAAAACGGGGCGCCTCCGTTCTGTCTCGCCACAGTTTGTGTTTACCAAGTTCTGGGGGTACAGGAGTAGAAAATAGATCCCTTGATGGTTTTTGGAGCACTGTCTTGGGAGTCAGCCAAGAGGGAGCGAAGCTAGTCATCTTCTGTGAAGCTACAAATGGAGAGGCGATATTTATCTTGCTAAACCCAATCCTGCGCTAAAATAGGGGACCCAATTACATGTCTTTGAAAAATTCCCACTGGGCCTTCACTGCCCACCAAGGCTGGGCAAAGTCCTCTATTTTAAGAAGCTACACGTATTCATCAAAATGTCAGTGGTGGCCAGACAGAGGTTTGGGGCTTATACCACAGATGATCATGGCATCGTTATGTGGCTAAGATGAAAGGTTTCCTACAGCCACACCCACCAATAGGGGGTTTTGCTTTGTTTTGTTTTGGGCAGGGATGGTGCTGTTTTTATTTCTCTGCTTTTGGTAGGCGCCCACCACATATTTGGGCCTCGTGCTCTCCTTTGGTATTTTCACTTAGGGATGGTGCTCTACCACTTGAGCCACACCTCCATCTCCAGCTTTTTGGTAGTTCATTGGAGACAAGAATCTCACACACTTTCCTGCCCAGGCTGGCTTTGATCCAAGCTAGTGTGAAGAACTGAATTCTTCGTTCTTCTTTGTGTTCAGTTGGTCGGTGGGGGGAAATGAGGGTGATATTGGGGCTTGAACTCACAGCCTTGTGCTCTCTCTTGGCTTTTTTTCCCCCCAGTTGGTCCTGGGTCTTGAACTCATGGCCTGGGTGCTATCCCTGAGCTTTTGCACTCAAGGCAAGTGCTCTACCACTTTGAGCCACAGCTGCACTTCTGGTTTTCTGGTGGTTAACAGGAGATAAGAATCACAGGACTTTCCTGCCCCGGGCTGGCTTTGAACCATGATCCTCAGATTTTAGCCTCCTGGGTAGCTAGGATTACAGGTGTGAGCCACCAGTGCCCATCTGGTGATCTAGCACTTGAGCTTCACTTGATTTAAGATTCCCCAGATTCAAACCTCAGGGTGGACTGAGAGGAAAAGAGCTGGGTTCTAGTTTGGAGACAATGAGTTGGAGGGGGGGAGGGGAAGGTCTTCTGCATCTAACACTCTAGAGGACCAGGAAAATGAATACAGAGAGGGCATCCCAAGACTGATCATTCCAAAAGCTAGCAAAGATTCTTCTCCAGCCCTTGGCAACCAGGTAGCACATAGTTAGGAAAGGAGATAAGGCAGGACTTTGGCTGCTTGGAGCCTGTGTTGCTTTGGAACCTCCCCCCCCCCCCCCCCCCAGACTCCAAGAGAGATGTTAGCTGGTTCTTCTGTACTTACCTTTGAAGGGAGACTGAGCTCGGGTGATGAGGAAAAGCTTCCTGCTCCTTCTGGGCCTGTCCTGGCGGATGTAGTAGCCCAGCCTGTTACATTGGCCCTTCTTACAGCTGAGACACAGGCCCTGGTTGAAGCGGTCCATGTCTGTGCACTGGTAGCCTATGCTCTGCTGGTCCTTGTGCCTCAAGGAATCGATGAACAGGTGCACCGACCTCTCGTGGGCACATTTTAAGGTCTGTGGGATGGCTAGAACACAAGATTAAGAAAAGACATCATTGTCCCTGAACCCCAAGTGGCCTCCACTCAAAGGTCCTTTTGCTTATGGCTACACAGCAGGTTAGCAGCCACAGTACACGAGCGTGCTTGGGACAGGAGAAATGGCTAAGGTTTGTCCCCCTTCTCCCCCGATGGGGGCAGTGATCCCTCTGGGGTGGGGGTGGGGTGGGAGAGGTGTTTCCATAGGAACGAAATGTCATTGATGGACAGCAGTTAGCCATGAGCCATGGGAAAGGCACAGGAAACTTAAAATTATATATAACAAAAGACCACATTGTAATTAAGCTTCCCATGACTATGGAGGGCAGATTTTAGTCTAAGGTGGGTCAACAAATAACTCTGTGTGTATGTGTGTGTGTATGAGAGAGAGAGAGAGAGAGAGAGAGAGAGAGAGAGAGAGAGAGACTACTGGGGCTTGAACTCAGGACCTCAATCTCTCCTTTGGCTTTTTCACTCAGGAGTGGTGCTCTACCACTTGAACCACACCTCCATTTCCAGTTCCTTGGAAACAAATGTCTCACAGACTTTCCTGCCCAGGCTGGCTTTGAACCATGATCCTCAGATTTCAGGCTCCTGAGTAGCTAGGATTACAGGTGTGAGCCACCAGCATCTGGGCTTTCTAGTGTGATTATTATTATTATTATTAATATTATTTTGCAGGGGGAGTGTTGTGGAGCTTGAACTCTGGGCCTGAACAATGTCCCTCAGCTCTTTAGCTCAAGGCTAGTGCTCTACCACTTGAGCCACAGTGCCACTTCTGGGTTTCTGGTAGTTTATTGGAGATAAGAGTCTCACAGACTTTCCTGCCCAGGCTGGCTTTGAACCGTGAACCTCAGATATTAGCCTCCTTAGTAGCTAGGATTATAGGTGTGAGCCCCCAGTGCCCAGCCCTAGTGTGGCTTTTTTTTAACCCTAAAAAAAAAAATACTCGAAGCTGGGCACAGGTGGCTCACGCCTGTAATCCTAGCTACTCAGGAGGCTGAGATCTGAGGATCATAGTTTGAAGCCAGCCTGGGCAAGAAAGTCCATGAGACTCTTATCTCCAATAACTACTCAGAAAAAGCTAGAAATGGTGCTGTGGCTCAAGGGTAGAGCGCTAGCCTTGAGCACAGACAGGCTCAGGGACAGAGGACCAGCAAAAACAAAAACAAACCAAAAAACAAACAAACAAAAAACCAACTCTGAAATGAACTCCAGGAAATGGAAACAAGAGATTTCTTTCTTTGCTGCTGTTTTTGCTTTCTTTCCTTTCTGTCTTGTTTGTTCCTTTATCTGTCTTTGGGCGGGTAGCAGGGGTATAGAAATAGAGGGACAAAGGGTGAACAAAGCTAACAGTGACACTTACTAGACGCGATGTTGAAAATGAACTCTACGACTGTGAGTGGGGATGGGAGGGAAAAACTGGCAGAGTGAGGGAAGGGTGACATTGTCCAAAAAGAAATGTACTCACTGCCGGACTTACGTAACTGTAAACCCTCTGTATCTCACGTTTACAATAACAAAAAACCAATACTCTCTAACTTTTAACATTAGTCTCATGGAGTGTTTTTCTTTTGTCTTTCTTTTTGTGTCAGTTGTGGATCTGGAACTTGGAGCCTGGGTGCTGTCCCTCAGCTCTTCAGCTCAACTTGCTCAACTTCTGTGTATGTGGTGCTGAGGAATCGAACCCAGAGCCTCATGCATGCGAGGCAAGCGCTCTACCACTGAGCCACCTTCCCAGCCCAGTTAATAGGAGTGTGCTGCCATACCCAGACATTGCTTGAGATGGAGTCTCCCAAATCTTTATTTTGCCTAGGCTGGCCTTGAATTAGGATTCTCTGATCTCTGCCTCCTGAGTAAGTAGGTTTACAGGCTCAAGCCACCACACCCAACTCTCTTGAATGTTTTACAGCTAACTGCCAAGAGCAGTCTGGTCAGCTCGTAGTTTCTTGTCTCCTACTGTTGACTCACCCATTCCAGGCCTGACCCCATCTTCCTGTGTGTGACTGGAAGAGCCCCCCTCCCCCCCATACCCCAGCCTGGGGAAGCACCTTAAACACAGGGGTGAAGAACTCAAGATCCCCCACCCACTCTTTTCCCTGAAATGGAAACACTTACAGTTGCATTCTGCAGTTCAGCACGGATCTCAGACACGTGTCTGAGAGAGAGATCACTCACCAACCCCACCCCGGGGGTCTGTGGAGATCTGGAAGGGAGGCTGGGTGGTCAGTTGGGAACTGTGGGTGATCGGAGCTGAGGGGGGTTGGGGTGACCCAAGAGAGGTGTAAGCCATGATAAAAGAGGAAGCCGGGCAGGGGTAGGGGATGGGGGGGGGGGGTGTTCCCAGAAGGCTGTCAGGCCTGGGCAGGCAGAAGGCTGGGAGTCGGGCCAAAATGGCATGATGTGGAGCGTGAAGGTCGCTCTGATATTGGAGAGGTAAGAGGGGTGACGTAAGTACCCCAAAGAGCTCATGATGGGGGTGGGGGGAGCTTTTGGGTGATGGGTGTGAGAGGTGGTGTACAGGGGTGGGGCTGAGCGCCTACAGCTGGCTTGCAGTGACTGCGGATGTTTCTGACAGGGTGAGGTTTTGAAAATCAGGGGAAATGCAGAAGGCCTGTGGTCAGTGTGGTGGCTGCTACGTGTTCTGTGTGTGTGTGTGTGTGTGTGTGTGTGAGTCCTTGAACTCAGGGCTCAAGGCTAGTGCTCTACCACTTCAGCCACAGCTCCATTTCCAGCTTTTTGGTGGTCAATTGGAGATAAGAGTCTCATGGACTTTTGCTGCCCGGGCTGGCTTTGAACTGTGATCCTCAAATCTCAGCATCCCGAGTAGCTGGGATTACAGGCGTGAGACACTGGTGTCTGGTGTGATGTTTGGTTCTTCAATCCTGAGCTGTATGTTCATGTCTGGGTTTGGGGAATCTGAGAAACAAATGGGATTCCCAAACCAGATCATAGCACATCCATTTCAGCCCTCAGCTAAATGGAAGGACAGCTAAACTTTGTTCTGGAAGAATTCAGTCCCATCCTGCCTGGTTGGACAGACTTCTTGAGTTCCATTCTTGTCAAACCAGAAATCAGGAAGGGATGGCCTAGTCAGACAGATGATGTCTCTATGGCTCAGTGAAGAGGAAACCCCTGAATGAGGAAACTTCTAGAGAAACAGGACTAACTACCAGCAGATAGGAGGGCCAGTCCCTCTGATGTGACTTTGCCTGGGCAAAGCCAGGGAAGAGAGAGAGAGGGCAGATCCTGACGGAGCTCTTCCTCTGTCTTGGGGGGATCTTAGTATCAAGAGGGGTTTTCCGGGGATCACAAGCCCACTCTCTGAGAGGCATTGCTGAACGTGCCTCTGGTCCAACCTTGGCTACGTTCTCCCAGGCCCCATGGCAGATAGATGCCAGTGGCTTCCACTGGGCCGAAGGCAGCCCAGGGAAGCGGGCTAGCCCTCTTGCTCACCCTTTAAGCCGTGCAGGGCGATGTGTTTGTAGACTTCCAGGATGTGGCAGCCAGGCTGGAAGGAGCCCCCATTGGGGTAGAAATCATAATGGCCGATGGGCTGTTCGATGCCCACTCTCAGACCCATGTACTCCTGCGTAAAGGTGTGAATGGCGTCGACGAAGTCAGCATCGTCCGGAGAGAGGCGATCTCGCGGGGAGGCTTTCTCAAACAAAGGGCCTGCGGCATCCAACCCTGAAGGGAGAGCAAGGCCAAGGTTATAGGGGTGGGGGTGGGGGCAGGAGGGAGGAGAAATGGGAACCTTAGTGGTTTGATGTTATTCCTCCTTGGGGAGCTAACAGGAAGTAGAGAATGCTAGGGTAGAACCTTCCAGAAAGTCTTACCATTACATATATATAATATATATATATATTATATATATAATACATTATATATATACACATAAATACATATATATAGTTATATATTTATTTTGAGAATCAGACATCAGCTAAGCATTTATTTAGGGGAAAGATGTTTGCAGAGATGAAACAGAGGTAAGAAATAAGGTTAAAGAGAGATGCGTGTGCCAGGTACCAGTAGTTCACACCTGTCTGCCTAGCTACTCAGGAGGCTGACATCTGAGGATTATGGTTTGAAGTCAGCCCAGGCAGGAAGAGGCCTTGAGACTCATCTACAATTAACCAGCAAAATAAATAAATAAATAAATCTGGATATGGAGGTATTGCTCAAATGGTAGAGTGTTAGCCTTGAGCCACGAAGATCAGGAACAGCATCCTGAGTTCTAGCTCCATGACCAGCACAAAAGAGGGAAAAGAGAAAAAAAGCAACTCTTATTTCCAATGAATCACCAAAAAGCTGGAAGTGGAGCTGTGGTTCAAGCGGCAGAAACACTGGAGCAAAGACACTAAGAGACAGTACACCTTGAGTTCAAACCTCAGTACTGGCACACAAAAGTCGAGGCAGGCTGGAAAAAAAAAGAAAAGAAAAAAAGTAGAGGCTGGGTTATTTAATATAACCAACTTCAAGTTTCTCTCAAGCTACTTTCACAAGTATCTATTTGCTTAAAACAAAACAAACACAAACCCCAATGTGTTCTTGTATGAGATGGAGTTATCTAGCCCATCCAGCAAAGGAAGAATTCGTCTGACCATAGGCTGTCAATAATTTCCCTAAACAAAGCTGACTTGTCTCCTACATGAATGTCCTTGTGTTGCAAGGTCCAACACAGCCTTAGGATACCACTGTTCTAGGGCGAAAATGTGAGCGGGTCTGGCTGCCCAAAGCACTGGGCCAAACAAGGGACAGATGTGTCTGACTGAGACAAACAGCAATCCCATGCTGACTTGAGTCATGTTTATGCACTCAAGGATTTCCCTCATCTTCCTTCCCCTGTTGTCTTTGGTGGACCCATTGGTGCCCTGGCTACCACTTCTACTGGGGATGGGGAGAAGGATTGATGGACAGCGAGCTTCCAAGAGAGCTTACTTGTCCTCTAGCCCCGCCCACAGCCTTGATGTATCTCCCCCTCCCCCCCCCCACTCCCCATTCCTTTTTTCTCCGGGTTAATGAAATGATAATCTTATCTTATTAACCCCTGGCTAGTCATGCCAGATGTGGCCAAAGGCCTGGGGCTCAGGCCTGAGGCCAACTTGCTAATTTCTGACCCAGTCTGTTTCTCAATGAGAGGCAGGACTACCCTCTGTGGAATACCATAAAAAGGGAGGGTCCAGGGGAGCTGGGAAGGTGGCTCAGAGGTAGAGTGCTTGCTTCACGAGCATGAGGGCCTGGGTTCGATTCCTCAGCACCCCATAAGCAGAAAAAGCCAGAAGTGGCGCTGTGGCTCAAGTGATAAAGTGCTTGCCTTGAGTTAAAGAGCTGAGGGACAGTGTCCAGACCCAGAGTTCAAGCCCCACAACCAACCCAACCCACCCCTCGCCTCCAAAACAGAAGGAGAACCCATGTTAAAGCAGTTTCAGGCTTCTTGGTACTAGCAAGACCAAGAGACAGTGAGAAAATGCATTTTCATAATGACAAATGGACTTGGTTTTCGTGTCTGCCATTATGCTCCTTTTACTTTAACTTTACATGAAAATAAAACTTTCAAGCAGGCACTCATGGCTCATGACTATGATTCTAGCCACTGAGGAAGCTGAGATCTGAGGACCACAGTCTAAAGCCAGCTTGGGCAGACAAATTCATTAGACTTTTATCTCCAATTAACTAGCAAGAAGCTGGAAGTAGAGCTATAGCTCAAGTGGTAGAATGCTAGCTTAGAGTGAAAAGCTAAGGGATGGCACTCAGGCCCTGAGTTCAAGTCTCAGGACTGGCACACACACAGACACACACAACCAAAACCAAACCAAACCTCATTTTATTGCAACATGAGTGAGCAGAAAGTGCACTTGGCACTATTTGGCACACACCTACAAGGCCTATCAACAGAATGCAAGCCATAATTGGCCATAATTGAATACAGTGATGGTGTTGGAGGCAGTTGACTTTCCCACCATGTTTTTGCACATTGGAAAAGTGAGGTCTCTCAATAAGGAGACTTGACTTTTGGGGAAACGCAGGTGTTTACCTGACTCCCTAAGAGGTTGTGGGGTTCACAGCTGGTGAGATCTCCGGCCATGGTTACCTGTAATCCTCCCAATTTTGTGCTTTCCTCCGATGTATCTGCCTGCAAATCCTGAGACGTGGGCACCCAGGCTGTACCCAATGAGGTGAACCTTGCTTCGAGAAAACTCCACAGCTTCCTGGAAGACAGCAGCAAGGACAGTGAGAAAGGAAGCTGGTTTAGATGGGGGGGGGGGGGAGGGGGGAAGGTGTCTCTGCGAGTTCTGGAATCTTCCCTGGGATTTGAGAGACTCTCACAAATGAGCTGTCATATTTATTGATGTTGCACATTTGAGGCTGATTTCTCACCTCATTTGCTCTGCCCCTTGGGAGCTGGCTTGCCTTTTCTTGGGGGAGGGAGAGCTTCTTGCCTATGGGGAAGAGGTGTCTTCACCTAAAATTGGTGCCCAAGGGGCAGTGATCATCTATGGATGTGTGTGTGTGTGTGTGTGTGTGTGTGTGTGTGTGAAACGTTGGAGGATGTGGTTAGATCCTTTTGGATGTTCAAACGAATGAGCAGGGAGAAGGTTGGCCCACCAACTGGGGGTCATGGAAGGCATCTGAGCATGCGGGAGAGGCATCCTATCTGGGGTGCTCTTGGAGCCAGGGCTTACCTCTAGCCACCTGAGAAGAGCCGCTATCTCCTGGCCCACAAGGCGGGTGTTGTGAACGGCAGTGGTATAATGGTTATGAGCTAGGGTGAGCCAGTTCACCAGCACCACGTTCACTGGTTGGGCCAGCTCAGATTTCAGTGCGGCCGCCATCTGCCAGATCCAGTTCTCCAACAGGCCATCCACCTGAGGGCAGGCCACACAGGCCATTAGCATCTCCAAGAGGGCACTGGGCGTATGGGGCTAGTTTCAGTTCTTCCTGGATACCCTTCTTCCTCCTCTAGCTTTTGCAACATGCTGTATCATTTGCCCCAAGTCCTCAACCATCTGGGCTGGGAGAGCTCTAAGTGTGGGGCTGGAGTCAGCAGCATCCTGGCCTCACCCACTAAGGACCAGGCCCATCTCTAGTTCCAGAATTCACAAACCAAAAATAGCTCCAGGTTCTGACAAATGTCTTAACTTTCATTTTCTTTTCTTTCTTCCTTCTTTCTTCTTTCTACCCTCCCTCCTCATCTCCCTCCCCCTCTCTCCTTTTCTCTCTTCCTTCCTTCCTTTACTTTCTTTCTTTCCTTCCTTCCTTCCTTCCCCCTTCCTTCCCTCCTTCCTTTCCTCCTTCCTTCCCCCCTTCCTTCCCTCTTCCTTTCTTCTTTCTTCCATTCTTTCATTCCTGTGCCAGTACTAGGGCTTAACTTAGGCCCAGATACTATCTCTTAACTTTTTCACTCAAGGCTGGTGCTCTATCACTTGAGCCACCCCTTCCAGCATTTTCATATTTAATTGGAGATAAGAGTCTCAAGAACTTTCCTGCTCAGACTGGCTTTGAGCAGGGATCCTCAGATCTTAGCCTCCTGAGCAACTAAGGTTGAGATATGAGCCACCAGCTTGAGACTTCCTCTTAACTGTCAAGCTGGGTGTGGTGGTTCACACCTGTGATCCCATCTACTCAAGAGATAGAAGTAGGAAAATTGAGGCCTGAGGCTGGCCAGGAGAAGATAAAAATTGAATACCCTCATCTGAAAAATGACTAAAACTAAAAAAGGCCCAAAGTATAGGTGTGGCTCAAGCTTGCCTAGCAAATATGAAGTCCTGAATTCAAAATCCACACTAGGAAGTAAAAAGTCAAGGTAAAATGAAGAGGAAAAGGCCGGGCAGTGCAGCTCTTCCTACCGACCACCCATGGACGATCATCACCAAAGGCCAGGAGGAGTTGAAGCTGCATTCCTGTAGTGATTCAGGATGGTGCAGCCGGAGCTGACAGTCCCTGGAGACCTCATCTTGGAAGAGCAAGAATTTGGTCTTGGTTTCTTGCAATGAGCTGTGCACTTGCACGCTTCGAGATCTTCTCCCAAATGGCCCTGCAATCGAAAGAGAGGGATGGTGCTCAGCCTGGTACCTGTTCTGACTTTGATATCCCTGGCCCCCCCTCATGGAATGACCAGAGAGTTCCCTGTAAGGAGCTGGAGATCAGCAATTTGGGGATACCCTGTGGCATTCACCGTTCATGGTAAAATTATCAGATGAAGGGAGGTAGAACTTCAGGAGACCTAACACAGTACAGTAGGGGGCACTCTACCCTCCTCCCCCAATCCTGCTGGCCCCCTGCCAGTCATGCACTGGAGGAAAGATTGGGGTGTGAGGGATATAAGTGAAGCCACTGAGACTGGATTTGTACAGGGTGAACCCCAGTACCTCTGTCTTTTTTTGTTGTTGTTGTTGGTTGTGGGGCTTGAACTCTGGGCCTGAGCACTGTCCCTCAGCTCTTCAGCTCAAGGCTAGCCCTCTACCACTTGAGCCACAGCACCACTTCCAGCTTTTTCTGCTTATGTGGTGCTGAGGAATCGAACCCAGGGCCTCACGCATACAAGGCAAGCACTCTACCACTGAGCCACCTTCCCAGCCCACCTCCCCTCCCCCCACCCCGCCCCACCATTATTACCTCGGGAGGGGAAGTAAGGGAAAGAGAAGCTGGGATGACTTTGTAAAACTAGCAGAGAGATCCAGGATCATTGGGGAGCATGATATAGAAGAATGCTTTTGATTTTAGTTTGCAAAAATTTATGCTGGAAGAAACCAGGACAAAGACAAACTACTTGTTTGAAGCTAGGACCTTGAACTGGGCACTGGTGGCTCATGCCTATCATCTTAGCTACTCAGAAGGCTGAGGATCACGGTTCAAAACCAGCCTGGACCTGAAAGCCCATGAGACTTATCACCAATTAACTACCCAAAAGCAATAAGTGGAGCTGTGTGGCTTACGAGGTAGAGTGCTAGCCTTGAGCAAAGATAAAAACTCAGAGACAAGACAGTTGCCGATGGCTCAAGCCTATAATCCTAGTTACTCAGGAGGCTGAGATCTGAGGATTGTGGTTCAAAGCCAGCCCAGGCAAGAAATTCCATGAGACTCTTATCTCCAATAAACCAGTAGAAAACTGGAAGTGGCGCTGTGGCTCAAGTGGTAGAGCGCTTGCCTTGAGCTGAAGAGTGCAGGGACAGTGCCCAAGCCGAGTTCAAGCCCCACAACTGACAAAAACAAACAAAAAACTCAGAGACAGTGTCCAGTCCCTGAGTTCAAGCTTTAGAAACTGCACCAAAAGAAAGAAAGAAAAAAGAGAAGAAAGGAAGGAAGGAGAGAGGGAAGGAAGGAAGGAAAGAGGGAAGGAAGGAAGAAAGGAGGGAAGGAAGGAAGAAAGGAGGGAGGGAGGGACTGAGGGAGGGAGAGAGGGAGGGAGGAAGATTGGTTCTTGATAACTTTTTTGCCTGGACTGAGTCAAATTATGATGCTCCTGTCTTTCCCTCTCAAGTAGCTGGGACTATAGGCATACACAATTGTGCCTGGCTCTTATCTTTTCTACTTGAAGATCTTTTGGGCGATACAAACCCAGAAGCCAAACTGGCTACAATCCAGAGCTGCCCTCTGCCCTGTGTGTGTGTGTGTGTGTGTGTGTGTGTGTGTGTGTGTGTGCACGCGTGCGCTCTTGCTTTGTGATCATGTGCTGCTGAACTCACTCCCGGAGCTGGCAGGGCTCCTCTGACTTTCCTGCAGATCATCCACGCAGATCGTCCTCGGCTGAAGATGGAGCCATCTGCCCCTGCCCGGGGCGCCAGGTGGGTGATTTGTAGGTAGGCAATACTGACCTCAGAATTTCTGGGATGTGGCCAGAATGAGAGCCATTTCCATGAAGACTTAGTGGCCGGAAGTCAAGCTGTAGCTCAAGGGATAAGGTGCTAGCCTTGAGTGAAAAAAGCTCAGGGAGAGCACCCAGGTTCAGAGTTCAAGGCCCAGAGTACACACACACACACACACACACACACACACACACACACACACTTCCTAGCTGGTGGCAAGATGTTGCGCAGATTCACAAGACAGAAAGCTCCTTCCTCCCTACCCTACCATCTTGAATTTGGCCATGCTCCACATGGAAGTCCTCACCCCCAGTGCAACTCTCTTTGAGGGGCTTCATATCCCCCCAGAACAGCTCTGAGGGGGACTGTGCTTCCTAAAGGCTGGTGCTTCTGGGGAAGACCCTGATTGTCAAGGAAGATGGTATCCGGGCTCATGCAGGACAGCTGTAATGGGCACCACCCAGACTATAGGAAAGACCGCGAACGAATGGTGTGACCAGGAGAACTGAAAATCCCATGACCTTCACCCCTCAATCCTTGGGCAGATTTGTTTTTACCAGTCACATTCTCAGACTAGATCCCTCCCTCCCTCCCTCCCTCCCTCCCTCCCTTCCTTCCTCCCTCCTTCCCTTCCTTCTTTCCTTCCTTCCTTCCTTCCTCCCTCCCTCCCTCTCCCTCCCTCCCTCCCTTCCTTCCTTCCTTCCCTGGGGTTAGCTGAGAAGAATTGTCCTCAGTCTAGGGGTGTTGGCTGGGATATTTGCCACAGTCAGACACAATCTCAGGTGACCTGACATGGAAAAGCACCCCCCACCCCCATCCCCACCCCCACCCCAGGGAGCTTCCTCCACAGGCAGCTTCTTCTCTGGCAGAACTGGGCCTAGCAGGTGCCAAAGTGCCTGGAACCAATGTGGAAAGCAAAGGAAGTTGGCTTGGCGCTGGGGAGCTAGGCTGCCAGGCCTGTGCTGGGAGCCAGAGGCGCCCATGCTGTGGCTTTGGAAGGGGGTGAAAGGAGAGAGAAAAGCAGGTGTTTTGTGCTCCAGGCACTTGCTAAGCGTATTCCTCTGGCTCGCTGAGCGCAAAGAAGCCAGGAGACTTTAGACATGTCAAAAGTGACAAATGCTGCCCAGTGCCTGGGCGTCTCTGGGAACTCAAGAGTTCACACGGTCAGACTTTCTAGAAGAGATGATGCTCAGAGGGAAACTGGGAAATCTTGCAAACACAATTTCCATCCAGCTGTCTCTGATGTGAGAGCAGCAATGGCCTCCCCCCGGAAGGCAAAGCAGCACCAGATCAGTGTGTGTGTGTGTGTGTGTGTGTGTGTGTGTGTGTAAGATGGCCGTGGCAATGCCAGGGGCCTTAGCAGAAAAAGCTGGCATGGGGAGAGGCCAGCAGAGCCGGAAGGAGGGTGAGTGGATCCGAAGTGAAGCGAGCAAGCAGGGGTCTGAGGCTGAAGGCAGCAGAATGTGCAGAGCCTGGGTCTGTGGGTTGGGGTACACCATGAGGCTAGAGGTGAACCCAGGGCCTTGGCCCAGACTCAGGCTGGAACAAAGCTTCTATGTGTCTGCCTTGCGAAACCCTCCAGGGAATGTGCTTCTAGAATTCCCAATCTCTTCGGAAGACAGTGAAGCAGAAGAGGGGCTAGAGGGAAAAGAGTGGGGAGCCCCCTGTGTGGTTTCCAGGACCAGCCTTGTGGTGCTTGTGGGCATGGATGCGAGTCTACCTTTGCTGGGATGGTGGAGATCACTGGGGTTCTGGGGGACGGGAGTAGCAGCCCAGCTGAGAAGGATGAAGTGCCAGCTAGTACCAGCCTAGAACCCTTCTGCAGAAGACCTGTATGTGTCTGTGTGTGTGTATGTGCGCACGTGTGCACATGCGTGCACGTGTTGCTCCTGGAGCTTTAACTCAGGGACTAGGTGCTGCCAATAAAGCTACGCATCTCTTCCTGTCTCTTCTTCCTAATTATCAGTACCTTCTTCCTTCTTCCTTCTTCCTCCTCCTCCTCCTCCCCCTCTTTCTCCTCCTCCTTCTCTTCTTCTTCTTCCTCCTCCTCCTCTTTCTCCTTCTCTTCCTCCTCCTCTTTCTCCTTCTTCTCTTCCTCCTCCTCCCTCTGTTCCTTCTGTTCCTCCTCCTCCTCCTCTCTCTCCTCCTCTTCCTCTTCTCCCATCCTCCTCTGTTTTGTTTTTATTTTTGTTTTTCTTTCAGTTCTGGGGATTGAACCCAGGGCACCTAGTGACTGAGCGACACCCCTAGCTAATGTCTTCTCTTCATAAGCCAGACATTGAACTCCCTTTTCCTTCCAGCCAGCAGGGTTAAAACCATCTCTTCTTTATGAAGGAAGGATAGTGAAAGGAACGAGTATTTACTACTCGTCAAAACACTAGAAACATGCAACTGAGAACACCAACATCCCAATGAGCAGCTTCTAATGCCGTGGAAATGCCTTACAGACTCTCACACTGGCCAGTTAGAACTTCCATGCAAAGGTCAGGCATCACCAGTTCACACCTATAATCCCAGCCACTCAGGAGGCTAAGGATCGGGGTTCAAAGCCAAGCTAGGTGGGAAAGTCCATGAAAATCTTATTTCCAATTAAACCACGAAAAAGTTGGAAGTGGCGCTGTGGCTCAAAGTGGTAGAATGCTAGCTTTGAGCAAAGAAAAGCTCAGGGACAGAGCCTAGACCCTGAGTTCGAGCTTCAGTACTGGCACTAAAAAAAGAAAGGAAAGAAAGAAACCCCATGTAAATGAGGCCCTGAAGAGGCGTAGGATGCCTGTAATACATGGCTTTTCTTTCCTCGGGCCTCTTTCCCATAATGCCGTCTGGTTGCTTCCTCAGCATATTCCAGGCTGTCACCAGCTTGTCACAGAAGTGGCTGAAATGCTACTAATTCCTCACGATGACTTTGCTGGCTGGGAGAAGTTGGCAAAGGCAGAGGAGATGTTTGTTTATCTGTGAACAAATGGCTTTGAGGCTTGGAAACCAATACACTACCCTACCATCCCAGAGAGAAATACAAGTCATTTGTTGTTGTTGTTTTGTTTTTGTGTCAAGTACTGGGGTATGAACTCAGGGCCTAG